GGCCTATCTATTTGGGAAATAACTTTGTCTTTACTTTTATTATTTATTGACAAAGTAATACATATATGTGTATGCAAATATTAAATAAAGAATTAGACTTCTGAGCTTACACTTTAAAGTTGGATACATACTACTAGATTTTCAAACTTCATACAAATATTCTTACAAACATTTCTATAAAAATTCTCAGCCCATTTTCTGAATGTCGTTCGAAAGTAGTTCAAAATATTGCTGGCTGTTAACATTCGATTTTGGAGTGAACGGACTTTAGTGAACAAAAACCACATCCACTGCTATAAAAATATTTGTTCATTTAATACCCTCCGGGCACCACAGTACCTCTCAGCTCTCATAGTCCCATCCAACCTCCCATAGTGGTCCACCATGCACTGTTCTACATGCAGTGCCAGCGCATCTTAAGTCAGGAGACTGCCTTAATGTTAGAATGTTCCTGCCTGGTCCCAGGAACCGATGAGCACTTCTCTGGCAAAGGTACCCCTGGAGCATGTGCGCAGTAGGCCCCGCCCACAATATGGCGTAGTCGTCAAAACCCAACTACCCTACAAGCTTAACCAGAGTCCTTTGCCCTCTGCTTTCCTTTTTTGTGCAGCTTTCACAGCACAGGTCCTCTTTATTTTTAAACTTGTGACAAGTTTTATAACACATGCTTTAAAAGTTGTTCAGAATTAATGTAGCAAAATTTTTGGATATAAAAAGTCCTATATTAAATAACATGACATATTTTTGCATCAGGAAGTTTTCTCCATTGATAAATGCTTCCGTTGACAATGGCATTCATTGCATTGCAAAGAAGAATCTAAGAACAGTATATTCAATCGACTTCATAGAAAAAAAAAGGATGCGTCAGGACTGGAAGAGTTGGCATTGCAGCTGGCTTAAACTATATACTGGAGAGCACAATTACTCTGGATTTGTATGATAAGGGAGTATTTCCATAATAGATCAAAGTTCCAGGCAACTGGCACATCCCCCGTCTTTACACCCTGCAGGTGGTTTAAAAAGCAATAAAACAAAAAAAAAGATGCAGTCTCTGTCCAAAATATTAATCACTTGAACTCTTATGACACGTGTCAGGTTTTTTTTTTTTTTATGTTGCATGTGACATTTTAGTGCCTCCGCCCTGATGGCCCAAGCTACGGTCTGTATGTGACATCATCAAGGCACCAGCCCAATGGTTTGTAGAAGAGGTTTGGCAGTAATACAGAACTTTACAGTCATAGTTAGCTATTACCGGAGACTTCTAAATCTAAAAGATACAATTAGGCTAGGATCACACCTTGTGTGTGTCGGGAACACACGCAAAGTCGCTCATTTTCCCAACACACACAGAAAACGCTCTGCCCTTAAGCAGATGCACGGTGCCATTAATTGTTAAAGGCACCCCCATGTATGTCCTAATGCATGCCCACATGGAAGAAAAATATATTTGAAATATATTTAAAAAAATATTCTTCACAAATATATTGACATATATTTGAAATACTACAATTTTGCCTGTATTCAATATATTAAAATATATATATATACATACAGTGGGGATCGAACGTTTGGGCACCCCAGCTAAAAATTTGTATTAATGTGCATAAAGAAGCCAAGGAAAGATGGAAAAAATCTCCAAAAGGCATCAAATTACAGATTAGACATTCTTATAATATGTCAACAAAAGTTAGATTTTATTTCCATCATTTACACTTTCAAAATAACAGAAAACAAAAAAAATGGCGTCTGCAAAAGTTTGGGCACCCTGCAGAATTTATAGCTTGCACTGCCCCTTTGCAAAGCTGAGACCTGCCAGTGTCATGGATTGTTCTCAATCATCGTCTGGGAAGACCAGGTGATGTCAATCTCAAAGGTTTTAAATGCCCAGACTCATCTGACCTTGCCCCAACAATCAGCACCATGGGTTCTTCTAAGCAGTTGTCTAGAAAACTGAAACTGAAAATAGTTGACGCTCACAAAGCTGGAGAAGGCTATAAGAAGATAGCAAAGCGTTTTGAGATGTCAATATCCTCTGTTCGGAATGTAATTAAGAAATGGCAGTCATCAGGAACAGTGGAAGTTAAAGCAAGATCTGGAAGACCAAGAAAAATATCAGACAGAACAGCTCGCAGGATTGTGAGAAAAACAATTCAAAACGCACGTTTGACTGCACGGTCCCTCCAGAAAGATCTGGCAGACACTGGAGTTGTGGTACACTATTCCACTATAAAGAGATACTTGTACAAATATGGTCTTCATGGAAGAGTCATCAGAAGAAAACCTCTTCTACGTCCTCACCACACAAAATCATCGTTTGCAAATGAACATATAGACAAGCCTGATGCATTTTGGAATCAAGTTTTGTGGACCAATGAGGTTAAAATTGAACTTTTTGGCAGGAATGAGCAAAGGTACGTTTGGAGAAGAAGGGGCATAGAATTTTAATGAAAAGAACCTCTGTCCAACTGTTAAGCATGGGGTTGGATCAATCATGCTTTTGGTTGTGTTGCAGCCAGTGGCACAGGGAACATCTCACAAGTAGAAGGAAAAATGGATTCAATAAAATTTCAGCAAAATTTTTGGATGGTAACTTGATGCCATCTGTGAAAAAGCTGAAGTTAAAGAGAGGATGGCTTCTACAAATGAATAATGATCCTAAACACACCTCGAAATCCAGGGGGGATTACATCAAGAGGCGTAAACTGAAGGTTTTGCCATGGCCTTCACAATCTCCTGACCTCAACATAATTGAAAATCTATGGATAGACCTTAAAAGAGCAGTGCGTGACAGACAGCCCAGAAATTTCAAAGAACTGAAAGACTTTTCTAAGGAAGAATGGGCAAAGATACCTCAAACAAGAATTGAAAGACTCTTGGCTGGCTACAAAAAGCGTTTACAAGCTGTGATACTTGCCAAAGGGGGAAGTGCATGCTATAAATTCTGCAGGGTGCCCAAACTTTTGCAGACGCCATTTTTTTGTTTTCTGTTATTTTGAAAGTGTAAATGATGGAAATAAAATCTAACTTTTGTTGACATATTATAAGAATGTCTAATCTGTAATTTGATGCCTTTTGGAGATTTTTCCATCTTTCCTTGGCTTCTTTATGCACATTAATACAAATTTTTTAGCTGGGGTGCCCAAACTTTCGATCCCCACTGTATATAGATATATATATATATATGAAAAAAGCACTGCACCATGGAGCTCTGTAAAGAAAAAAAAAGTGCATAAGATTTTAGCATATTTGTGCAGGCATGGAAGAAAAATATATTTTAAATATATTTGAAAAATATTCTTCCCAAATATATTGACATATATTAGAAATACTACAATTTTGGCCATATTCAATATATTTCAAAATATATTTATTTATCTATATATATAAAATTAAAATGCATTTCAATAATATATACAGTGTATATATATATATATATATATATATATATATATTTTATTATTTTTTTATTTATTTATTTATTTTTTTAATATATTGAATATGGCCAAAATTGTAGTATTTCAAATGTATGTCAGTATATTTGGGAAGAATATTTTTAAAAATATATTTAAAATATATTTTTTCTTCCATGTGGGTGGTGCCGCAACATCATGCAGATCAGTGCAGAGTGATTTTGAAAAAGGGTCAGGGGCTTCTTTTAGGAGTTTTTTGTGCATAGGACAGCTCATTGAAAACAATGGCCTGCCCTACACGTGACACGTAGGAAAGTGTGAAAAACGCATCAGACCATGTGCACTCTGTTGCATTTGTATGGTGTGAACTAGAGATGAGCGAAGAAATGAAAAATTCGATTCGACTGATTCGGCGAATTCGTGGACAATATTCGATTCGAGTCGAATAAATTCGCTGTGAATTTAACTTAAAAAAGGGTGTTTCTAGGCTTCAGAGAGACTTAATATTAGTGCAGAACACTGTACCTTTAATTTAAATGCCCTTGGAGTCTGCTGGGGAAGAGAAATAATACTGTCTGTCAGTATGACATGCAGATGAGTGCCGTCGATCTTAGAATCACTGCACACTTCACTCCTTTGGCCAGTCACGGGGCCAAAACCAGTGTTTGGAGCCACAGTGTGGCGGTGGAGGCAGCAGCAATGGGAGGCCATACAGCAACCTATGACAAAATGGAAACCAGCAGGAGCGTGAGGAGACCTGAAAGTGGCACATGGCAGAGTGGGAGCAATGGGAGGCGGTACAGGGACCCAGGTCACACTGTGGGCCCAGCAGCAGCGTGACCAGGCGGTACGGGGGCCCATGGCCGATATGGGGCTTGGTGGCACCTATGGAAGGCCTGTAATCTGCCAGCAACCTATGACAAAATGGACAACCGCAGGAGTGTGAGGAGATTTCAAAGTGGCACATGGCAGAGTGGAAGCAATGGGAGGCCGTACAGGGACCCAGGTCACACTGTGGGACCAGCATCAGCGTGAACAGGCGGTACGGGGGCCCATGGCCGATTTGACCTCATTCATCCCATAGTCCTGCCGACTCACGAATAGCGTGGCCTCCTCAAAGGGCCTGAGCAAGCGCAGGTGTCACACATGAGCTGACAATGGCTGACATCTAAGTTACACAGGGAGTACCTTTATCCGCTTTTTTAATCAGGAAATCTGTGATGGCCTTTAGCTGTTCGTAAAGGCGGTCTAACATATGTAGGGTTGAATTACACCTTGTTGCAACGTCACAGCATGAGGAGTCGGTACGGGGGCCCATGGCAGATTACATGTCTGGCAGCAGCAATGGGAGGCCCGTAATCTGCCAGCACCCTATGTCAAAAAATTTAACACACCAGCAGTGTGAAGAGACCTGAAAGTGGCACATGGCAGCAGAGTGTGGCGATGGAGACAGCAGCAATGGGAGGCCGTACAGGGACCCATGACAGACTCTAGACTTGGCAGCAGCATGAGGAGGCGGTATATAGGGGCCCATGGCAGATTAGGGGCCTGGCAGCAGCTATGTGAGGCCCGTAATCTGCCTGCACCCTATGTCAAAAAATTTAACACACCAGCAGTGTGAAGAGACCTGAAAGTGGCACATGGCAGCAGAGTGTGGCGATGGAGACAGCAGCGGAGGCCGTACAGGGACCCATGAGAGACTCTGGACTTGGCAGCAGCATGAGAGGAGGCGGTATATAGGGGCCCATGGCAGATTAGGGGCCTGGCAGCAGCTATGTGAGAGGCCCGTAATCTGCCTGCACCCTATGTCAAAAAATTAAACACACCAGCAGTGTGAAGAGACCTGAAAGTGGCACATGGCAGCAGAGTGTGGCGATGGAGGACACAGCAGCAATGGGAGGCCGTACAGGGACCCATGAGAGACTCTGGACTTGGCAGCAGCATGAGGAGGCGGGTATATAGGGGCCCATGGCAGATTAGGGGCCTGGGGGCCTGGCAGCAGCTATGTGAGGCCCGTAATCTGCCTGCACCCTATGTCAAAAAATTTAACACACCAGCAGTGTGAAGAGACCTGAAAGTGGCACATGGCAGCAGAGTGTGGCGATGGAGACAGCAGCAATGGGAGGCCGTACAGGGACCCATGACAGACTCTGGACTTGGCAGCAGCATGAGGAGGCGGTATATAGGGGCCCATGGCAGATTAGGGGCCTGGCAGCAGCTATGTGAGGCCCGTAATCTGCCTGCACCCTATGTCAAAAAATTTAACACACCAGCAGTGTGAAGAGACCTGAAAGTGGCACATGGCAGCAGAGTGTGGCGATGGAGACAGCAGCAATGGGAGGCCGTACAGGGACCCATGACAGACTCTAGACTTGGCAGCAGCATGAGGAGGCGGGTATATAGGGGCCCATGGCAGATTAGGGGCCTGGCAGCAGCTATGTGAGGCCCGTAATCTGCCTGCACCCTATGTCAAAAAATTTAAACACACCAGCAGTGTGAAGAGACCTGAAAGTGGCACATGGCAGCAGAGTGTGGCGATGGAGACAGCAGCAATGGGAGGGCCGTACAGGGACCCATGAGAGACTCTGGACTTGGCAGCAGCATGAGGAGGCGGGTATATAGGGGCCCATGGCAGATTAGGGGCCTGGCAGCAGCTATGTGAGGCCCGTAATCTGCCTGCACCCTATGTCAAAAAATTTAAACACACCAGCAGTGTGAAGAGACCTGAAAGTGGCACATGGCAGCAGAGTGTGGCGATGGAGACAGCAGCAATGGGAGGCCGTACAGGGACCCATGAGAGACTCTGGACTTGGCAGCAGCATGAGGAGGCGGTATATAGGGGCCCATGGCAGATTAGGGGCCTGGCAGCAGCTATGTGAGGCCCGTAATCTGCCTGCACCCTATGTCAAAAAATTTAAACACACAGCAGTGTGAAGAGACCTGAAAGTGGCACATGGCAGCAGAGTGTGGCGATGGAGACAGCAGCAATGGGAGGCCGTACAGGGACCCATGACAGACTCTGGAGACTTGGCAGCAGCATGAGGAGGCGGTGGTATATAGGGGCCCATGGCAGATTAGGGGCCTGGCAGCAGCTATGTGAGGCCCGTAATCTGCTGCACCCTATGTCAAAAAAAATTTAACACACCAGCAGTGTGAAGAGACCTGAAAGTGGCACATGGCAGCAGAGTGTGGCGATGGAGACAGCAGCAATGGGAGGCCGTACAGGGACCCATGAGAGACTCTGGACTTGGCAGCAGCATGAGGAGGCGGTATATATAGGGGCCCATGGCAGATTAGGGGCCTGGCAGCAGCTATGTGAGGCCCGTAATCTGCAGCACCCTATGTCAAAAAATTTAAACACACCAGCAGTGTGAAGAGACCTGAGACCTGAAAGTGGCACATGGCAGCAGAGTGTGGCGATGGAGACAGCAGCAATGGGAGGCCGTACAGGGACCCATGAGAGACAGACTCTAGACTTGGCAGCAGCATGAGGAGGCGGCGGTATATAGGGGCCCATGGCAGATTAGGGGCCTGGCAGCAGCTATGTATGTGAGGCCCGTAATCTGCCTGCACCCTATGTCAAAAAAAAATTAAACACACCCAGCAGTGTGAAGAGACCTGAAAGTGGCACATGGCAGCAGAGTGTGGCGATGGAGACAGCAGCAATGGGAGGCCGTACAGGGACCCATGAGAGACTCTGGACTTGGCAGCAGCATGAGGAGGCGGTATATATAGGGGCCCATGGCAGATTAGGGGCCTGGCAGCAGCTATGTGAGGCCCGTAATCTGCCTGCACCCTATGTCAAAAAAATTTAACACACCAGCAGTGTGAAGAGACCTGAAAGTGGCACATGGCAGCAGAGTGTGTGGCGATGGAGACAGCAGCAATGGGAGGCCGTACAGGGACCCATGAGAGACTCTGGACTGGCAGCAGCATGAGGAGGCGGGTATATATAGGGGCCCATGGCAGATTAGGGGCCTGGCAGCAGCTATGTGAGGCCCGTAATCTGCCTGCACCCTATGTCAAAAAATTTAACACACACCAGCAGTGTGAAGAGACCTAAGTGGCACATGGCAGCAGTGGGCGATGGAGACAGCAGCAATGGGAGGCCGTACAGGGACCCATGAGAGACTCTGGACTTTGGCAGCAGCATGAGGAGGCGGTATATAGGGGGCCCATGGCAGATTAGGGGCCTGGCAGCAGCTATGTGAGGCCCGTAATCTGCCTGCACCCTATGTCAAAAAATTTAACACACCAGCAGTGTGAAGAGACCTGAAAGTGGCACATGGCAGCAGAGTGTGGCGATGGAGACAGCAGCAATGGGAGGCCGTACAGGGACCCATGAGAGACTCTAGGACTTGGCAGCAGCAGCATGAGGAGGCGGTATATATAGGGGCCCATGGCAGATTAGGGGCCTGGCAGCAGCTATGTGAGGCCCGTAATCTGCCTGCACCCTATGTCAAAAAATTTAACACACCAGCAGTGTGAAGAGACCTGAAAGTGGCACATGGCAGCAGAGTGTGGCGATGGAGACAGCAGCAATGGGAGGCCGTACAGGGACCCATGAGAGACTCTGGACTTGGCAGCAGCATGAGGAGAGGCGGGTATATAGGGGCCCATGGCAGATTAGGGCCTGGCAGCAGCTATGTGGAGGCCCGTAATCTGCCTGCACCCTATGTCAAAAAATTTAACACACACAGCAGTGTGAAGAGAGACCTGAAAGTGGCACATGGCAGCAGTGTGGCGATGGAGACAGCAGCAATGGGAGGCCGTACAGGGACCCATGAGAGGAGACTCTGGACTTGGCAGCAGCATGAGGAGGGCGGTATATAGGGGCCCATGGGCAGATTAGGGGCCTGGCAGCAGCAGCTATGTGAGGCCCGTAATCTGCCTGCAGCCCTATGTCAAAAAAATTAAACACACCAGCAGTGTGAAGAGACCTGAAAGTGGCACATGGCAGCAGAGTGTGGGATGATGGAGACAGCAGCAATGGGAGGCCGTACAGGGACCCATGAGAGAGAGACTCTGGACCTGCAGCAGCAGCAGCATGAGGAGGCGGTATATAGGGGCCTATGGCAGATTAGGGGCCTGGCAGCAGCTATAGGAGGCCCGTAATCTGCCAGCACCCTATGTCAAAAAATTAAACACACCAGCAGTGTGTGGGAGACCTGAAAGTGGCACATGTTTGAGGCATGATTCATGGCGGATTTAGTCAGTTGTGTCAGGAACTGGTGTTTGAAATCCAGACTAATCCACGCCTGATTCATTTTCACAAACGTGAGTCTCTCCACACTTTGGGTGGACAGTCGTGTCCTCCGCGGAGTTACAATACCTCCTGCCGCACTAAACACGCGCTCCGATGCCACGCTACTGGCCGGGCATGACAGCCTTTCAAGGGCAAATTCAGCTAGTTGGGGCCAAAGGTCAAGTTTCGTTGCCCAGTAGTCAAGGGGATTGTCTACCGTTGGCAGGGTGCTGTCCAAGTAGGCCCAAAGCCTGTTGTTTGAGCTCCTGCTCCAGGTCCACCTGATGCTGCTGCTGCTGCTGCGGCTGGTTAGTAGTTTCCTCACTGCGCTGGTGAAGAAAGCTACTCATCATCGACTGCAGACTGAGGCAGCCGCTGCTGGTGGAGCTGCCACTGCTCCTACCACCCCACCCCTCCCCTGCTGCCATGCCAGCGGAACGCGAGCGCACAGGGCCCACAGTGTCTGAGGATGGACGTTGGCGCACAAAGGGCAGAGACCAACTGACTACATAGGTGGTTTTTATAGTACGTAATTTTGGCCTCCCTCTCAGCAGGTGTGAAAAAGGCCACCATTTTGGACCGGTAGCGAGGGTCCAACAAAGGTGGACAGCCAAAAGTCATCCCTCTGTCTGATGGTTATTATTCGGCTGTCGCTACGCAAGCAACCGAGCATGCTATGGGCCATTTGTGCCAAGGAATGCGGAGGGACTCCCTGCCTCCACCATCTCCACAGCATACTGCCACGGTGCGTCTGGGTCCTCTGTCTCCTCCTCCTCCTCCTCCTCTACCAGATGCTCCTGCTCCTCCACTCCTGTCCGCTGAGTGGAAAAACCACCCATTTCACTCAATAATTCCTGAGCACAAATGTCCTCCTCTACCACCACACCCCACCTCTTCTTCCTGTCCTGCCCCCACCTTTTCATGTTCTAATTCATAATGTGCGCCACCTCTACCCTCCCCATGACCAGCCATAACCCCTCCCAAAACCCCCCAAATAACCCTTCCTATCCCCCTCTTCCATCTACTAACACCCCCCACTACCATCCTCCACCCTCCACTCTATATTCCACCACCCCTTTCATCTCCCTCCCTCTTCCTTATACCCTCCAATCTCCCCCCATTCATCCCACACCTAACCCCCCTTTTCTACCCAAACACTCAATACCCCACCTTTCCCACTTATCATCATTCCAAAACTCATCACTACCCTTCTTACACCCATATACTTTAATAATCCCCCCATAATCCCCTACTCCTCACTCCTCACTCTTCATATTCCAACCTAACATCCTCATCCTCACCTTTTTTATAAAAATCTTATATTCCATTTCCCATCCATCCCCTAAACTATCCCAACCTAATACAATACCATTTTTATTCAAAAATTCAAAACAATCAAAACTTCCCCCCCCCCCCCCCCCCCCCCCTCCCATCCATTCCCATTCCCCCCCCCAACAATCCTCCTCTCCTCCCCATAAATTTCATAACCTAATACTACCCCCCAATTAACCTCAAAAACTAAATCTCTTCTCCAAACCCCACATACAAAACTCATTAACAAAACCAACCCCCACCCCTAACCCCCCATATATATACCACCTGCTCACACATCCCAACTATTCTTGCATCAACAATCCAACCATCCTAATCTGCATACCTTTACCACAACATCCCCTGCCCTTCACCCATATATCTATTCCCACTCAACTCCCTCCTGAACTAAACCCCCCACTCCCTCAATGCCCCCACTTCATATGTAAAAACCCCCCAATCCAAAATGACCATATATACAATACCACCCACCCAAACCAACTAATTTTCAGCTATACAATCCCCACCCACCAATCATCCACCCAAACAACCTTATGGGCTTTTCCCAGTACATAACCAACTCTTTACCCCCATCCACCCCAAACACCCCACATTCCCACCTTATACTCACCTCCCAA